GGCAAAGAAACACATAACTAAATCAGAACACTTAAGATCCGTGGTTATTTTAATTGTAACTTTATATATGTATGTATGTATGTAATGTATTATATATATATGTATGTACGTAATGTATTGAGATGGAAAAAATGGGGTACTTGCTTTATATCTAGACCCATTCTAGAAATGCAACTTCATAACTTTTAATTTTTATTTCCCACAGAGGCTAATTAAATAAATCATACCCAACGATGTGTAACTAACTATACGCTGTAAACTTCCCAGTGAAATAAATCTTCAGGGAAAGAGAAAGGAAAACTGATTTTATACCTCCCATTACTTCAAGTTTTCAACATCCAGCAAAGTCAAATTACAAGGACAAGTGTCTTGAGGAAATTATAATGGCCTTGAAGTAATTGGTCCAGTTCCACATTATTAAAAAACCTTTAATAGTGTTTATTGCTCACAAACACCTTGTAACAGGCATGTCAATTCAATGAAGGGAGTAGATACCTTCAGACCCAGTAAAAATAAACTAGTTATGAAGACAGGTGATCCTCACCCTGGATGCTTCAATACTCAGCCACCCGTTCTTGAAGCAGAAGCGTTTTAAATTTCTTTATTGTGTCAATCTTGGCTTTAAGCTTACTCACTTTTAGCTAGAGACATCTCTAAGCACATTTCCATACAAGGTTGGGAGTTTCAGTCTGGATCTATAGACCAAAAAACTTCTGAAGGTGGAGTAATATTATGAAGCTACTGTCTAGATTATTAATCTTCTGTAAATCAGCAGCAGTAATAGCATCTGGTTGAGTCCAGCCTGGCCATCTGCCACCACTGTGGCCCTGCCCCCACCCATGGTCTCCTGCTTACAAACTTTATTTTTTATTTTTAAAGATTTTATTTATTTGTTTGAGAGAGAGAGAATGAGAGTAAGCGAGCATGAGAGGGGTAAGGTCAGAGAGAGAAGCAGACCCCCTGCTGAGCAGGGAGCGGGACTCAATCCCAGGATTCCAGGATCAGGACCTGAGCTAAAGGCAGTGGCTCAACCAACTGAGCCACCCAGGTACATATACACCTAGTTATATATCAATATATTTATCAAATTGTTAAATTAACATTTGACTAAGCCCAATATTGATTCATTATAATAACAGAGCAAGAAGTAATCCTGGCAGATGCCAAAACCAGAAACCAAGATCTTGGAAGAAAAAGTTTAAAAAGTAACCAAATAAGAAATAAAAGAGTTTTAAAAAGGAAAAGTCCAGTTTTCCTTCTGAGGAGGACACCCAACATGCAAAAGATATGAAGATGAAAAGACATACATTTGCCAATCTGTTGTTAAAAAACTTCAAAAGTAGCTGGATTCAAATATTTAAAAAGATTACAAGGATTACCTCAAAGATTTTTGTTACATTAGTAACAGAGAATATGAAATTAGTATTTATCTTTTTCTTTAATTAAAAAAAGTTTATTGAGATAAATTTAATATACAAAAAGTTGCACATATTTAATATGTACATTTTGATGAGTCCCCTGGACATACGCATACACCCGGGATATAATATAAACAAGGTAATAGACATATCCATCACCCCTAAAAGGTAGTTTGTTGTTCTCTTGCTTTTGGGGGGGGATTAGTATTTATCATTTTTCTAACTTTTTTTTGTTTTTTAGAGAGAGAGAGAGAGTGAGAGAGGCAGAGGGAGAGAGAATCTTTTTTTTTTTTAACATTTTTAAAAATTATTTATTTATTTATTTGACAGACAGAGATCACAAGTAGGCAGAGAGGCAGGCAGAGAGAGAGGAATGGAAGCAGTTGTGGGGCTCAATGCCAGGACCCCGGGATCATGACCTGAGCCGAAGGCAGAGGCTTTAACCCACTGAGCCACCCAGGCACCTCAGAGAGAGAGAATTTTAAGCAGGCTCCATGCTCAGTGCAGAGCCTGATGCAAAGCTCAATCTCACGACACTGAGATCATGACCAGAGCCAAAATCAAGACTCGATGCTTAACCAACTGAGCCACGCAAGTACCCCAGTATTTACTTATTTATAAAGATTTTATTTATTTATTTGACAGAGATCACAAGTAGGCAGAGAGGCAGGCGGGGGTAGGGGGGGAAGCAGACTCCCCACTGAGCAGAGAACCTGAGCGGGGCTTGGTCCCAGGACCCTGAGATCATGACCTGAGCTGAATGCAGAGGCTTAATCCACTGAGTCACCCAGGTGCTCCCGCCCCCGTATTTATTTTTAAATAAGAAAGTCAAAAGGTGGTGGCACCAACTAAAATTAAAAAAGAAAAATAGAGGTTGAGCGGCTGTTAGAGGATAAAGTGGGGAATGTAGGGCTCAGTCCGGGATCTGTGGAGTTTGTAATGCCTGTGACACATTCAGGTAGAGAGTTGAAGTACGAAGTTGGATACTAGAGTTTGAGCCCAGGTGGAGTTATCTAGACTGTGATACGTATCTAGAAGTCATCATTGTAAATAAAATCTATGGTATGGGTACAAGGGTAAAGGAGTTCTGTGAGGAAAGAAATGGATAAAGGATGGAGTCCTCTTTCCCCAGTGAAACTCCCAGTGGTGAAAACTGAACCCAAGAAGAAGCCAAGAAAGAACTGACCTTTTTTGAGAAGAACTGGGAGCGTGTGGGATCATGAAATCTCAGGCATTAGAGATTTTCAAGAAAAAGTAAACAGCTAACTGTATCAAATATAGAAAGAGGAGCAACACATCATACTGTCAGGTAGGGAAGAAGGTAAGAATGGTTAAAATATGCATAGACGTTTGTATTGGGGGCAGTTAGAAGATAGAGAGTTCATGTCTTAATGCCTCTTTCTTCTCTGTGATTTAGGAAGCAAGATCTCACAGAACAGTCTCTACATCTCAGAAGAAGACATAAAGCAAAACACAGATTTGAACATCAGCATTAGAGACCTTAAACATGACAGTGATCGTTGTGATGTCTGTAACAGTTGGGAACTGTTAGATATTTGCTCTTTGACAGTCTACTGTGGGGGAGCACGGGTTGTTCAATCAGTTTAAGCTCTGACTCTTGATTTAGGCTCAGGTCAGCATCTCAGGGTCATGGGATTGAGTCTCATGTTGGGCTCTGCACTGGGCATGGAGCCTGCTTAGGATTCTCTCTCCCTTTTCCTCTGCCCCTCCCAGTCACTCTCTTGCTCTCTCTTTGAAAAATAAATAAATAAAAATTAACCAACTTGCCTTAAGAACAAAAAACAAGAAACAGTCTAATGTATACAAGGCTCTCCCAGAACAATGGTAAATGTTTAGACAAACCAACAAAAAATCTGAGACTCTCATTATTCAGATTACATAAAAGCTTAGCATATTTCCTGGTACTCAGTAGGTATCAGTAAGTATTTGTTGAGGGAATGAAAGAAATGAAGAAGGAATGAACTATGAGACACCATAAATATATCTTAAGAACAAGAAGTTACCAGGAGAGGTGTTGCTACAAATGTTTATAATAAAAGTGTATTACAAATACATACGTAGAGTAATATAACAACATTTAAGATAAGAGAAGATCCCTGTCTGATACGTAGAGATACATTATAGGGTCTTATTAAAACCTGAATGAGACACACCAAAAATTTTTCTTACCATCTATGAATCATGACACAAAAAGGTTTAAGTCCACTATATCAGAAAATATAAAGCATTATAAAACTAGATTTCTCAGGAATAATCCTATGTAAGAGGACAATAAAGCTAAAAAGAAGGTAAAACTTAATGTAATATTAATAGTAGTAGATGACTAGAAAGTTTTTAATTGCCTGAAAAAACATTCCTTTGGAAACTGATGACAATGTTTTATTATTGTAAGTATGCACTGCCTTTATATAATAAAAAAGAAATTTCCTCCAACATCTATAAAATATTTTATGTATTTTTTAAAGATTTGTTTATTTATTTGAGAGAGAGAATGAGGGTGAAAGCACCAGGAGAGGAGAGGAAGGAGAGGGAGAGAGAATCTCAAGCAGACTTCCCACTGGGCACAGAGCCTGACATGAGGCTCTATCTCATGACCTGAGTGGAAATCAAGAGTTGAACACTCAACAGACTGAGTCATCAAGGCACCCCTAAAGATTTTAATTTTAAGTAATCTCTACACCCAACATGGGGGTCAAACCCACAACCCTGAGAGGAAGAGCAGCTATATGCTCTACCAACTGAGCCAGCCAGGAACACCCCTCCAACATTTAAAAAAAAATATCAAATATACAGAAAAGTCAAAATAATACTACAAATGACCATATCCTTTATCTAGATTCCCTAATTGTCAATAAATTGTTGCCTTTTCTTTATCTCCATTTCTTTCTGAACCATCTTAAAGTAAATTGCAGATATAACAGTATTTCAGCCTTAAACACTTCACCATTCATCTTATAAAAATAAGGATATCAACATTAATTCACATTCATTCATAATTATTATTTAATATATAACTCATGTTTAAGTTC